ACTAGAACGTAACAAGACAGTACGAAGGTCAGTGAAAGGAACAGGGGACGAGGGACGAGCACGAGGAGAGCGACGAGTAGCCCAAGTACGAGACGGAGGAGGAGAGGACAAAGGCGGAGAACTGGGGAAAACAGCGGGGGAGGAGTCAGGAGGAGGAAACGTGGGACCGTAGACAGGAGGAGAGGCGGGGGAGGGAGGAGAAGGAGAGGGGAGACCAAGGGTCCGAAGACCTGAGACAGGAGGAGGAAGTGGCTGCTGCTGCTGCTGCTGGTGCTGCTGCTGCTGCTGCGGCTGCGGCTGCTGCTGGGACTGCTGCTCCTGCGGCTCCAGCTGCTGCTGCTGCTGCTGCTGCTGCTGCTGCTGCTGCTGCTGCTCCTCCAGCTACTGTAATTCCCTCTCCTCTCTCTCCAACGCCAGCTGCTCCTCACGGGCACGGCGAACACGAGCCTGGTGCCTAGTCGGGTAGGGGTGGGGGGGCGGAGTAGTGTCCGGAGCAGCGGCAGCTCCAGAGTCCACCCCCGAAGGACCAGGCACACCACCCCCAGAGGCAGCACTAACACCAGCTCCAGACCCAGGCTCACCAGAACCTGAAGGAGGCGCACCCTCACCCCCAGACAGAGCACCCCCAGTGTCCGCGCGACCGCCACCAGCTCCCGGAAGACAAGAGTCCTCTGCACCCACCGGCTCAGCTCCAACTCCAGCACCCCCAGAACTAGAAACCGGTACTGGAACAGGCTCGGCACCAACCTCTCGAGAGCTAGCACCTGCGGCACGCTGCGAGGAGGACTGTGGGGAGGGAGGCTGTACCGGAGGGGCTACCGAAGGAGGAGGGGTAGCCTGGGACACACCTGACGGGGCTGGACCAGGGGGGGGAGGCTGTACCGGGGGAGCAGGAGGGGGAGCGGCAGTCAGGAAGAGGGGGGGAGGAGGAACCGGGAGACCTCGACTGGGGTGCCTGACGAAGTACGGGGTGGACTCCTCGAAACGGACGTCACGGGAGTCAAAGAACCGGTGAGAGGGAGGGTGGTAAAAGGTGAAGTCAGAGGAGTCCTCAGGGAAACCAAGGAAGACACAGGGGACGGCGCGAGGCGAGAGCTTGTCCGCAGAGGTGTCGCGGACAAGAGCCAAGCAACCCCAGACACGAAACCTCGACGCAACACCAGGGGACCCGGTCCAAAGACTGGTCGGTGAAGCCCCTGGCCGAGAGACGCGTGGCCAGAGGTTCAGCTGGTGCGCGGCGTACCGAACCGCGTAAGGCCACAGAAAATGGGGGGCACGGGCGTGAGTCAGGGAGGTGCGGGCGATCTCCATGACCAAGCCTATGCGGCGCTCAGCAACCCCATTCTGCTGCGGGGACTCTGGAAGCGTCCAGGACTGACGAATGCCCTGCTCGCGACAGAATCCAGCGAGAATGCCGGAGCGAAACTCACCCCCGCGGTCAGAGTGAAGACAGCTGACACGACGACCACGAGTGTCCGCGGTGGTGAGCAACCACCTGATCAGCGTAGAAGTCACCTCAGACTTCTTCGCCAGGGGGAACACCGTGGTGTAGCGGGAGTAGTCGTCAACAACCACCAGAAAGAAACGCTCACGCTCAGGGCCAAGGCGAGAGGCGGGGCCCCAGACATCTAGGTGAAGCGTCTCAAACGGCTCGGTGGCCGGACGAAGGGAGGAGGAGTGAGGGGTGGCGCGCAGCCGACCCTCGACGCAAGGACCGCACGGTGGTGCAAGAGACGGCGGCAGCGACGGCAAGACACGCGGGAGACCTAAGACCAGACGCTGACTAGACATAGCACGCAGACGTGGAAGAGAAGGGTGTCCCATCCGGTGGTGCCACAGAACGGTGGGGTGGGCAAGCGACCGACAGGAGCAAGACGCAGCGACTGGACTGGACGCGACAACCTGAGGGGACGGAACCACCTGGTGAGACGCAGGGAGGAGACTAGGGGGAGGGACAGGAACTGGGAGTAGGGGATGCTGCGACGGCGGCCGCTGCGGTTGCTGCTGCTGCTGCTGCTGCTGCTGCTGCTGCTGCTGCTGCTGCTGCTGCTGCTGCTGCTGCGTCCACTGCCGTGCGCGCGGGCCAGTGTGAAGAGTGTAGAGACCGGAACCCGGCTCAGCAGCAAAGGTGGCGAGAGGCTGGTAAGAGTCACCGTCAACACACACTGCAGTCTCCCCAGAAGGCTCAAACCACACACCCACGTGCTGACTCACAAGGGGTCGCACGCCCACCAAGTTCCGGGAGAACGAGGGGACATGAAACCCAGTGAGAGACCCGGAGGGGGCAGCAGGACACGGCAAAGTGGTAGTGTGACGTGCAGTGACTGGTCCCGAGGTGGGATCAGCCAGTGCCACAGAGACAGGCGCAGGAAGTGGCGTAAGTGTCGTGCTGTCACGAAAGAAGCAGTGCGAGGCTCCAGAGTCCAGCGTGAAAGACAGTGAAGTGTCCTCCGAGGTAGCCGCTGGACTAGTGTCTACACAAGAACCTACACTAGCAACAGGCAACTGAGCAAGGCTAGCACCTAAGCTAACAACACCAGAGTAAACAGAGTCAGAAACACTAGAGTCAACAACAGCATACATAGCATGAGGAGTTCCAATCAGATCAGCTAACTGCTCGGCAGACATGTCCCACAGAGCGGAACCGTAACGCTGAACAAGGGGGAACCAGTCAGGGGCAGGACCGCCAACCCCGTAAACCAAACGAACCGTGTCAGTGAGCTGAGCAAAACACTGACCAGGGGGGTGAAGGCGGCCACAAGGGTGGCCCCGGCGAGCACCTGTCAGAACCTGATAGGCGCAGGGAGGGTAAACAGCACCACGCTGCGGCTGACGCGGCCCCGACCCCGAAGCCAGCTGCGGCCGCTGCTGCTGCGGAGGCTGCTGGGAGGAGAGGGGCTGCTGCTGCTGCTGAAGCTGCTGCTGACGCTGGGCCCGGTACCACGCCGCTGCCCCACCCACCGGGGCTGGCAGTACAGGGGGCGACTGACGAACGCGGGCGTCGCCACCACCAGCAGTCGCAGTGGAGTCACCGGTCGCTGCACGAGACGTCTCTCCAGGCCCTGCACTCCCACCACCGCCAGTCGCAACGCCACCCCCACTACCTCCGCCTCCACCAACGCCGCCACCAGCACCGCCCCTCTTGCCACCCCTACCGCGGGACCGCGACGAAGTCGTAACAGCAGCTGCGGTCGCGTCAGTAGCGGCAGTGGCGAGAGAGGCAGTAAAGGTGGGCAACTGCGGAACTGTGCACCCGTGGAAGAGCGGAGGGGGCACAGCACCAGAGGCAGCGGCGACGGAGCGGAGGTTGCTCTCGACGTCCTTGAGAGCAGACTCAAGGACGTCAACAGTGAGCTCACTAGGGTGCTTCAGGAGAAGCGCGTCACGAACGGAGGCAAGGCGGTCGGGGAGGCTGGTGGCGATAAAATAGATAGTAATCGCCATGGGAGGAGGAAGCAGTGCGAGCTGGGCCTCAGTGCAAGCAGCGCGGTAACTAGAGTCGAGCGAGCGGAGGTGAGCAATCAAGTCAGCAGAGCGCTCAAAAGAGGCGAGATCAGGGAACAGGAACGGGAGGAAAAGGCGGCCAAGAGAGACAGCAGCAGGAGTGGAGTAGCGGGCCTTAATCGCAGTCAGGTACTCAGCAGCAGTGCGAACCTGAGCAAAGTGAGCCTCCTCAGACTCGGGGAGAAGGGTGCTGAGCGCGATGCAGGCCGCAGCGTCACGCGACGTCCAGGCTGTCAGGTCAGCGCGCTGGCTAGCGAAGCGAGCTCTAGCGGCGTCGTCAGGGGCAGGACCTAAAGGCGTAGGGTCGGGGGGCGCAGGGAGGGCACCAGCAGCGTGCGCCCAGAGGGTCTCGCCTGACTGGACCTGACTCTCCAACTGACGGCGAGCGCGCAGAAGCCAGAGCGAAAAGTCAAGGGGTCTACCGTCAGCGTCGAAGCGAAGAACACGCGGAGTCGCCATCGTTAAAACCGACGGAAAAGCGGAGGCAGGAAACCCTAAACGAGATGGCGTGGCGAAAATCGGGCGGGCAAAGGGCGAAGCGTGAAACCCTAAACGAGGTAAAGGCGCAGCTAAACGGGGGGGGGCGTTAAGGGGCAGCCGCACGGGGGCTAAGGGCAGCCGCGCGGGCGCGGGGGCGGACGTTAAGGGGCAGCCGCGCGGGGGCTAAGGGCAGCCGCGCGGGCGCGGGGGCGGGCGTTAAGGGGGAGCCGCGCGGGGGCTAAGGGCAGTCGCGCGCGCGACGCGACGAGCAGCGAAGGCGGGCGCCGCGGCGACGGGCGCAGGCTGCGGGCGCGACGTCGGGCGCCGCGGCGGGCAGCGACGGCGGGCGCCGCGGCGACGGGCGCAGGCTGCGGCGGGCGACGGGGGAATGCGCAGCGGTGGCGCGCGTAAGGGGGGGACGGGCGACGGGACGACGGGCGGGGAGAGCGCGATTCGACGGGCAGCAAGGGGGGAAACGCGACTCGACGGGCAGCGGGGGGAAAAACGCGACTCGACGGGCAGCGGGGGGAAAAAACGCGACTCGACGGGCCTCGGAGGGGGGAAAACGCGATGGGCCAGCAGGGGGGAGGAAGGTCGCTACGCTACTCGAGTAGGGGATCGGCGGAACGGGCGGTAACGAAGGAACGGGACGAGAGCGGGCCGGCGCTAGGCTCGGGCAAGACGTGCGTAAGTAATACGAGAGAGGGAGACAGGCTCGGGCGATACGAACGAGGTCGGGAGGAACGGGATCCTACAGGATCCTAACCTAGGTGATACCATCTCAAGATCGGAAGTGTTGTTTCATTGATGGTGGTTGGGGTACAAGTAGCAAACCCTAACATACGTACCCCCAAAGACACATCTCACTACAGGCTACCAACATTTGACAAGAGAATGAGGGCGACGGAAAGGAGGGGAGAGAGCGAGGGCGACGGAAAGGGATGAGAGAGAGCGAGGGCGACGGAAAGGGAGGGGAGAGAGCGAGGGCGACGGAAAGGGAGGGGAGAGAGCAAGGGTCAACGGAAAGGGAGGGGAGAGAACGAGGGCGACGGAAAGGGAGGGGAGAGAGCGAGGGCGGCGGAAAGGGGGGGGAGAGAATGAGGGCAGCGGAAAGGGAGGGGAGAGAACGAGGGCGACGGAAAGGGATGAGAGAGAGCGAGGGCGAGGGAAAGGGAGGGGAGAGAACGAGGGCGACGGAAAGGGAGGGGAGAGAGCGAGGGCGACGGAAAGGGAGGGGAGAGAGCAAGGGCAACTGAAAGGGAGGGGAGAGAGCGAGGGCGACAGAAAGGGATGAGAGAGAGCGAGGGCGACGGAAAGGGAGGGGAGAGAGCGAGGGCGGCGGAAAGGGAGGGGAGAGAACGAGGGCGGCGGAAAGGGAGGGGAGGGAACGAGGGCGACGGAAAGGGAGGGGAGAGAGCAAGGGCGACGGAAAGGGAGGGGAGAGAGCAAGGGCAACTGAAAGGGAGGGGAGAGAGCGAGGGCGACAGAAAGGGAGGGGAGAGAGCGAGGGCGGCGGAAAGGGAGGGGAGAGAACGAGGGCCACGGAAAGGCAGGGGAGAGAGTGAGGGCGGCAGAAAGGGATGGGAGAGAGCGAGGCCACGGGATCGAGGACCTGAAGAGGGATCGACGGGAGGGGAGGGAAGAGAAGAGGAACGACGCGAGGGGAGGTAATAAATTACGAAAGGCGGGACGGAGGGTGACGGGAGTGTGGTGGGAACGCGATCGCGATGAGACGCGAGGGCGGCGGGAGGAGAGAGAAGAAGGGCGACAGGGGAGGAAGGGCGACGGGAGACAGGAAGGGCGGCGAGAGAGAGGAAGGGCGACGGGGTAGCGAACTGGCGACAGGAGTGAGGAAGGGCAACAAGAGAGGAATGGCGACGGGATGTGAGAGGAGATCGCGAGGGTGATGGCGACGGTAGGGGCGAGGGTGGGCGATTTGAGGCGCGCGTGACGGCGACGAAGTGGGTGATAGGAGGGGGAGGAAGGGCGACGGAAAGGCGATTCAATATGAGCGCGAGAGCAACGCGATGGTTACTGTGAGAAGAAGAGATGTAGAGCGACGGGAGCCTGATTTACCGAGAACGCGAGGGCTACGAGGTGAAGGGTCGGGTTTCACTTGCGAGCGACGAGAAAAATATTGACTATACAGAGCCATGTTCACTACATTACGCACGCGAGCGAAGTCGGATCTTACGTGCCTAGGCCAGAAACATCTACGCTTTCTCGGCTTTACTACTAATGCTACGCAAAGCACTAGTGACTTCGGGACTCGAAATCAGCTAGTCATTCACCCAGTCCCAACTTGATTTGGAAGTTGGTCCTGGCGATGGAAACCATCGCTGGGCAACGGTCGTATGGGTGCAGCGTATAAAAATGCGACGATTGACATGGGGCCTGGAAAATCGTTTTGGCGGGAGGAGTAATTTTCAGATTTGTTTGAGCCAATCAGATGAGTTCAACCTGCCTACACGGTTTGTTTGGAACAGTGTTGTGTCAACCCAACTCATCGCAGCGATTTCAAGCTGGGACGGCCTTCACTATTTTATATTTCGGTTTTAAGAACAGTGATTGAGGTTGTATGCCACTGTGCACAGGGTTTGACAAGGGTGAACACTCTGAACGACATTTATTTCTTCAATATTGTCCTGCCAGCCGGCGCGCCAGCAGCAGGTTGATGATTCCGTATCAGGCCCCAAATTTCAAGGGTATTTTACCCTTTTTGCCCTGCTCATAGGCCACTTTTTGGCAGTTACCCTTTTCAAATCAGGGTATGGAGATTTTTACCCTAGTGAAATCAGGATACGCTAAAAAGTACTCTTGGCGTTTTCCCAGTTACACTGACTGTATCAGGGTAGGGGTTCAACTACCCTTTTACCGGAACTTTTTTGTACCGCGGATTCCGCCACAGTACGCGGCACGACAAAGTGCACCACGGTCCCACTGGACCATTTGTTCGATACACCCACTGGCGCGCCAACGCACATTCAGCACGGATGCCCGCGCACACCTACGATTGGTCAGTTGAGCAACATCACAGCCAACGCACCCGGTTTCCGTGCGTTCCCGAAGCACCACTCTCTGCCAACGTAGCCAAATTGCGCGCCAGGTGGGGTGCAGTCATTATGGCCTTGCAGCCTATGCCATGCAGTTCCCTTGCTTTTCAGCCCACAGGTTGTGTGCAGAACACTTTAGTGTCAAGAAGCTGATGGTGTAGTTTAAGTACGTGCGTACGAAGGAAACAGTGTACGACATCTATTACCCTGCTAAAATCAGTGTAACTGAAGTTTTAGGCTGCTACAATCAGTGTACGAGAAAAATTACCCTAACAGTCAGGGTACGGAGGGCCTGCCACCCTGATTTGAAAGAGTGAGCTAAAACGTATTTTGGGCCCTGTTCCGTATGAGGGTGTGCTGGCTTGTAACCATCACCCACCTTTGACCAAGCTTGTAATACCGGTGGCAGGGATTTTTCCTTCCCCGCCCACCTCCCCCCCTCCCTTCCCCCCACCCCATCCTGTCATTTGGGCATTCCACATCAACATCTTCATTATACATACGGCAATCTTCAGAATACGTGTAACTTTTTCTGGCAGGACTACTTGAATACGGTACGATTGAAACACTTGAAAACCTCCACATCATAACATTCCTTACTACATCCCCATCTCCAAACTGCTCCCATCCTCGTAAGCTACGGTAGTCAGAAGCAGTACACAGCCAGTCCATGTACCCTTGTCTGCCATGCCGCCATCCCCCAGCACCAGCATCCAGTCACAACAAGTTGCTCATTCGTCAAACCTCTGATGGCTCCCCCTCCCTCCTCCCCCTCCTCTCCCCCCTCCCCCTCCACCCCTACCTCCTCCTCCATGCCCGTCTCTCCTTCCCCACCGACCTCCTCCGCCTCTGCCCCGCCCTCCTCTCCCACCCCTGCCTCCCCTCCACCCCCGGCCACCACCTCTGAAGGTTCAAGCAGCGTGCACAAGAGGAGAAACAAAGAGTCACACAAGAAAGAGGCACATTAGTAAGGGAGCATGGGAGAGGACCACCAGAGAGGGGAGGAGTGTCCCAGCTAGAAGACAGGTAAGGTAGTCAAGCCACAGTATGGCATGTGTGTGTGCGTGCACGTGCGCGCGGTGTGCGTGTGAGTGACTGCGTGTGACAGAAAGGGTAGGGGAGGGACTGGGGGGGACAAAAGAGAAATAGAAGAAAGGCAAGATCCAATCATCCAACCCAAGTAATCTTGGCTCACCGGAAGCCACCACCGCCACCAAATCTGCCCCCGAAGTCCTTGCGCTTCTTCTGCCCGTCCCGCAGCTTGCTCCAGTATGCTGCCTCCTCCTCCCCTGCTCAGCACAGTGTCACACACATGCACGCAAGCGAGACAAAGCGAGCTCTCCATCAGGCAAAAGCAGCAACGCAGAGGCAGCAGCAGCAACAGCGGCAGCAGCTTTAACAGCAGCAGCAGTAGAGCAGCAAAGCAGCCCGATCCACCATTGAGAATGTTCACAGTGACAGGATAGCCCTTGATGTATGAGTTCAGCTGCAGCTCATGAATAGAATTCAAACAAAAACGCTAATCAGCCAAAGCAGCCGCAAAGCAGCAAGACCCACCTTCAAGAATATGCACGGTGACAGGATAGCCCTTGATGGTGAGCGCAGCAGGCGCGGACTTGGCCTTGTTGCTGGCCTTGATGGGCCCCTCAGGCGTCTCAAAGCGGATGAAGCCAGTCAGGTCGCCCGCCTTGTACTCCACGAACTGCCGTCAGGGGATCGTAAGGGGATGCAAGGGGATGCAAGGGGATGCATGCAAGGGAGGGGAGATGGGAGCAGCAGAAATAGTGGGGGGGAGACGCGAGAAGCAAGCTGGTCTTATAAATCGATTCTTAAATCAGGTGAATGTGGGTGAATAAACTCAAATTGCCCACCTTGTACCCCTCAAATTGCCGTCATGGGATGCAAGGGATGGGGAGGGGAGGGTGAGGGGGGGGGTACAGGGAGGGGAGCGACACGTCCCATGCAGGGAGGATGAAGGGTGGAGGGTGCAGGAATGGAGGGTAGAGTCAATCTGAGTCATGGCTGTGTTAGCGCGTCCAGCTAGGCCTGCTGCTTCATGTACCGTGCTTCGTCCGCATCTTAATCCCTCTCCGCGTTTGTATCTCTCTGTTGGATACTATAACTAGCAGCGGGGGGAGGGAACAGGATACGGACGACGCGAGGAACATGCAGCAGCGGGCCTGGATGGGCGCGCTAACACAGCCATGGCATGGTGCCATGCCATGGTGCCATGCCATGCCACAGTGCAGCATGTCACTAAGGGCTTTGAGCGAGGAACCCACCTTGACAATGCCAAACTTTTCAAACACGAAGCGGCACTCCTCGCGGGTCACCCCTTCTGCCACAACACTCTCCTCACGCTTCCTCTTGCCCAACGCCTCTCCCTCTGCATCCTTCTTCTCCCCCTCCGCCTTCTCCTCTGCCTTCTCTTCTGCTTTCACCCCATCCTTTTTCTCCTCCTCTTCTTTCTTCTCATCACCTTTCTCCGCTGCTGCCCCTTCCACCTTCTCCCCTTCCTTCTCCTGTTCCTTCTCCTTCTCCACTTCCTTCGCGTCCTCCTCTGCTTTCTTCCCTTCCTCTTCTGCTTTCTTCTCCGCCTCTGCAGCATCTGCCATCTCTTCATCCCCTACCTTCTTCTCCTCTCCATTCTCCTCCCCTTCCGACTTCCCCTCCTCCCCTTCCTTCTTACCCTCCTCTCCCTTCACCTCCCCATTACCCACCCCATCCTTCTCCCCTTCCGCCTTCCCCTCCCCTTTCCCCTTCTCCCCATCACCACTATCAGCCACCGCAATAGTATACCCCAGAATCAACCCCTTGGGATAAGCTTCCTCCTCCTCCTCATCCCCCTCCTCCTCCGCCTCCGCACCCTCCCCACCCTCCCCTTCCGCGCCTCCCTCTCCGCCCTCCTCCACGCGTCTTGCCTTGGCGGGCGGGCGCAGGTCCATGTCCCCGTCCTCTGCCTCGAACCGCCTGCACGGCACAACCAAGAGCAGCCAAGGGGCAACAACGGGCAGGGCAGAGCAGGGCAAATCAAGAGAGTATGGCACCGGGAGGGAGAGAGGGTCATGTGGGCGGGCGCAGGTCCATGTCACCATCCTCTGCCTCGAACCGCCTGCACGGCACAACCAAGGGCAACGACGGGCAGGGCAGGGCAAGGCAGGGCAGGGAAGGGAAGGGCAGGGAAGGGCAAATCAGGAGGGATGGAGAGAGGGCCTTGGTAGGTCCATGTCGCCATCCTCTGCCTCGAACCGCCTGCAGGACAACGCAGAGCAGCCAAGGGAAACGACGAGCAGGGCAGGGGAGGGGAGGGCAGGGCAGGGCATTGTGGGGGAGAGAGGGGTATGAGGGGTGAGGAGGGACATGAAAGAGCACTGAGGGGCAAACGAGAAAAGATGTGAATGCAACAAGTGAAGTGAGGTGAGCGGGCAGAGCAAGGACTCACCCAGCTTCCTCTCCCTTCTCCGCAACACGTTTCTGCCACTCCTCCCTCGCCTGCTGCAACCACTCGTTCCTGCAGAACGGGACAAGACGAGATGAGTTGAGATGAGATGACACGCGTCGAGATGAGACGAGAGGCAGTTGAGCATGGACATCCACAACACAGCACCGCACCGCACCGCAGAGCACAAAACACCGCACCACCACAAGGCACAGCACAGCACCGCACCGCACAGCACAGCACAACATGGCACGCACTTGGGCTGCAGCAGCAGGGTGGCGCCGTTAAATTTCACGTCCTTCTTGGCAGCGACTAGGCGCATGGCATGTTCGCTGTCAAACTCCACGTACACGGACCCCTTGAACGCCTTGGACGCTGGATGGCGCCTCATGCACACACTCTTCACCTGTTGGAAGGGGAGAGATGGGAGGCAGGCAAGCGAGAAGGGGAGGTACGAAGGAGGGCCGGGGGGTGACTGGACGCTGGAGGTCCGTGAGAGGCGCTGAGGATAGCAAGGCATGGGATGGGATGGCAGGACATGGCATGGAATGGCCTCTCCTCACATACTGCTTCTCCGCCACACGTACGGGTCCAAGCGAGGAGAAGAAGGCGTGCAGGTCGTCGAGCGTGGAGTTCCGCTGGAAGGGCTCCGCGTACAGCGAGCACAGAGAACAGGACGCGCATACATGGCGTGGCAGGGAAGGGCAGGGCATGGCGCCCTCACACACGCCTCCCCTCAACACACACACGCACACGCACACGCGCGCGCACACACACACACACACACACACACACACCCACACACACACACACACACTGCTTCCCGCCTCCCCTCAGTCACACGTACGGGTCCAAGCGAGGAGAAGAAGGCGTGCAGGTCGTCGAGCGTGGAGTTCCACTGGAAGGGCTCCGCATACAGCGAGCGATGAGGGAAGGGAAGGCATGGCATGGCAACCTCACAGAGAGGCCTGCTCCCCTCACACACTAGCCTCTCGTCACACATACAGGGCCGAGCGAGGTGAAGAAGGCGTGCAGGTCGTCGAGCGTGGAGTTCCACTGGAAGGGCTCCGCATACAGCGAGCGATGAGGGAAGGGAAGGCATGGCATGGCAACCTCACAGAGAGGCCTGCTCCCCTCACACACTAGCCTCTCGTCACACATACAGGGCCGAGCGAGG